TATATATTTATTCATCCCGTCATTCATATCAATCCATTATCCTCATAAAATGTATTATGTTATAATATAAATAATAATAATAATAACAATAAAAGATTAATGAGATGATGTACTTTGAGCTCGTGCACCATTTACAGCGGCAAGTTTTTGTTGATGTGTAGCAGCTATCACTGGTTTTCTTACTGATCTAATTTCATCAGAAGCGAAACCCGGAATACGTATGTTCCAATTTCGTTCTGATCATCAATCATTAAGAAAGAAAATAATAAGTAAGTTACAACAAATAAACACTTTTTTTTTTCAATCGATCGTGAGAGAGTAAGATTGATAATTATGATACCTAGATGCAATTGAAGATCTTTTACTTCCAATGTATCTGACTTTCTGTGTTTAGCTAGCCGACAAGCAAAGGAAGTTACTGATGTTATGAATTCATCAGCTATATCCAATAGCAACTAAAAAAATTTTCAATTATTATTACAAATAATATATATATATATAATAATAATAATAATAGAGTAAACAAACACACATCTTCTACTTCTGGTTCTAATCTTTCTCTAGGATCGATTTGTTCAACCAATTCTTGGATTTTACGTTTTGCAACAATTGGTTTTTCAATATTATCAGAATCCGTAATTTGTAATTGTGAAGTCCCTGGTGTTAAACTTGAAGTTAAATATGTATTTGATGATAAAATTTGTTCTTTTCCTGGCATTGAGGTTAATGTTTGTGGAAAATTTGTCGTAATTGCAGGTGTTATTGGCATTATCGGTGTTATTGGTCTGATGATGCTGATGAACCATTTGGCAATATGTAGTTAAATTCTATGATTCCTGGGCACACAAATTTAAATGTAATGGTAGCTTTGGTCCTATATTATTATATCCAAAGACAACGGTTGACTGCGTTGATATATGTAAATGTTGTGAAAAGATCTAGTGCCGCTGGATTGAACAAAACTCAATGCTATGGTGCTGGAAAAGGCTTTCAATATTTTGATTTATTTTAAGAAATTAAATGGCATTCAAAAATTTCTACATTTCTTTTCACAACTTTTTACTTATCCGGGTCATTCAAATGTTCGAGAAGTTGTCGATGGGCCTTTCTATGAGTACACTCTATTAATAACTAAAAAAAAAAAGGGTAAAAGATATTAAAGCTTTATCATTTCCCATATTAACATTCACTCCTATCACGATCATGAATATCTTTATAATGATGTTTGCCCATTTTTCAGAGATCCTCCACAAAATATTGACAACTAGCTTAAGATGGCTGTTAATTTTCCTTCGCCTCGGTAAATCCCAAAGTATTTATTTATTTATTTATTTAAACATTCTTTGATTGTTATTTATTTTAAAACATGAGGGAGCTATTTTCTTATCTTGTTCTTTCTTCTAATGACGCTATGATTCTTGGGCTCCATAGTAGATCTTGTGTAAAATTAGTTTTCATATAATAATAATTTTAATATAGAGATAAAACCGATATATATAAATATCTATCCAAATAAACTTGAAAATTTCATATATAAAAACAAATATACTATGGAAAAACCAATATTGATATTAATTGGTGGTTGTTTCAGTTCAGGAAAGACAACGAGATAAAAAAAATGGAAATTTTGTTATTAATCATCATTATTATCGCAGGCATTATAAACACCTTTCACACAAAAATAAAAGTTAAGATGATCCCAAAACCATAGATATGGATGGAACTTCTTATAGAAGAGTTAAAAAGGACAAACATCCTTCATGAAAAAAACCCCTCTGAAAAATGGCAGATCTTAAATTTTTGTATTAATTTGAACAGTAGGATTTTAAGAAATATAGAAAGAAGCTGAAACATTTAATAAAAAACATGTTCAAAGTTATATTCGCAATGTAGAAAATTTGTTGGGTCAACTAGAGAATATGCTAATGTGATTTTTACTAAAAAAAATGTCAAGTCCACCACTCATTATAATCTGCACTTTGAGAAAAAAAACAGTCAAAAAAAAAAGAATTTGCCATCTAAACCAAAACTAAAGAGAAAATTAGCCATTTGCGGAATTTTATATTTTGGATTTTCTGCTTTAATTTTTTAATTAATCATCTTTTATGGAGAAACCGGCCGTTAATTGCATTAGTAGTAGTAGTACAAATATGATTATGATGAATATTAAAAAAACATTTGGTCCCTGAATATAAAAATGGAATGCTTACAAAATTCACAATTTATATTTAAAAAAAAAATGAACCATCACTTTCGATTAATCTATTATTATTATTGTTGTTATTGTTTTGTTATATTACTATGAGCAAAAAGTCTAGCCTAACTTTTTATTACATATTAAACTCGGCCAGAATTAAACAAGATCTACAAAATTTTATTCGATTTTTGTGTAGTAACAAAAGGAATTATTATTGAACCAAATCGAAAAATTTAGCAATATGTCACCCACACCTTCTCCACAAGTTCAAGCTACATCATTATCAACGCAACAGCAACAGCAACAGCAGCAGCAACAGCAACAGACAGCGCAACAACAACAACCTTTAACACAACAACAACAACAATTACAACAACAGCATATACAACACCAATTACAACTACAACAACAGAGACAATTGCAACAACAACAGCAGCAGCAATTGCAACAACAACAACAACTGCTGTTACAGCAACAACAGCAACAAATACATCGAACTTTAAATCAAAACATACAAACTATAAAATTGGACATTCATAGTTTACAAGAGGCTTTGAAAAATCCTCATCTGACTCCCCAAGTTAGACAGGAAAAGGAAACAAAGCTTAGTTACTATAGTAATCTTTTAAGAACTCCAATATCAGGCATATATTTATATATATTTATACAATACTTCTTATCTAAGTATTTAAAATGAATTTTTTTATTATCTTACAATACTCATTCATACTTATGTATAAATATGTATAAATATATGTTGTATAGTCTCACCGATGGTCAGAACTTCATTACAAAGCATATCTGCACAAGCAATGCCACTCAACACATTAACACAAACTGGCGCTTTATCTTCGCAACCAGGTTAGATAGATGATTGATTTGATTTAAACTTTTTATTTTTATTCCTTTATTTATTTCACAATTTTATATGTATATACATTTTATTAATTTAGGTAATAATGATTTTGGGCAAATTATTTCAATTCCTCAACATGATATTTATATTTATTATTTACCCTTGTATGCTAACTTTGTTTATTCTGCACTCAAATATAAACAATACGAAGGTCAGATATTAACAAATAATTCTATCATCCAACAACAATTAATTGTCAACAACAGTAGTTATCATTGTATTATATTAGAATAAACAGTCAGGTTCACATAATTAGTAACTATGGTTTCTATTTCCAGTCCAATTCAATAATTAGAGTTAATAATTTATTCTATCGAGAATTCACTTTTAAACACCAGATTTAGTTAAAATGGTTCAGTGGCCCAATGAAATAAACCGCCTCTGACCAAAATTTGCTTTTTTTTATTAAACCCTGTTTACTTAATAAAATCATGCATACTAAAAATAGAATGAGTTTGATATAACATGAAATTTTGCTTTCTAAATTTGGGAAATTTCTTTTTTCTATATATTTACCTCGGATGTGATTTTTGCTAGACATCATCCCATATAACAACGGTTGGTTTAAATTTCCTTTGTATATACCACAATTGGTTTTAATTGCGACATATTTAAAAATAAATAGTAAATCGTTCTGGAAAATACTATTACGTTT